GGGCTTTGGGGCGTGGGAGTCCTTGTGGTACTTCTGCCAGACTGGCTTTTCTCTTAGTAAAGACCACCTTTATCTTTTCCCATGCACATATCCTCCTGTACTATTCCTCAGTACTTTACACCAAACAAAAAGAACACACTCACTTTTTAATCTTTAATACGTATATTTCTAAAGGGAACATGAGATCATTCTCATAAGCAAGAAACCTGCATTGTAGTCTATAAATGGAAAGTAATGGTAAAAATAAGGACATGGAAAATACAACATTGTTATTTAATTTCAGCTAGATACTGTTGCTGGAAAGCTCTTTGTCCAAAAGAAGATCAGAAAGTGTTACAGAGGCGTTAAGTAGATGTGACTTCCAATTGAGAATTCCTCCTTGATATAATCAACAGGAAAGGAGGTAACTCTCTCCCAGTTCTATTTAACTTGTGCCTGCATTACTCTTAAAATGGCCTCATGGACCAGTGATGGTTGGTGCCCACTCTGGGGAAAGCATTGCTTCCGTAGCCTTGACCTGTTTCCAGATCCTGTGGCTAGCTGTCTGTCCTGACTTGACCTGGCTGCCCACTTGCCCTTGACCGCGGCTCCCCACTTGTATGGACCTCACCGTATTCCAGGCTGACCAGGCCTGGGGGCCTAGCTTGCCCCGGTGGATGAGCTTGGTTCTAGGTCCAGCCATCTCAGGGAACTGAGAGAATACAAGAATGAAGTCCTTAGAGCCCTTCCTAAGTGACAGACATGATAGGTATTTTACTCAGATTATCTGAGTTTTCCCCACATTTCAGTCATTCATCTACCACCTTCATGATTTCTGCCATATCACTGCTATTCATTTACCTTGCAGTTTTCTTCAAATTGATTTGTCTTTTAAAAAGCTCAGCATTTTATTTTAAAAGGAAATGCCATATTTTCCCCATAAATCAGAGAGTTTGGTGTGCCAGTTACATTTTTCTATCATGCATCGATTGTGAGGTATTAAAGTAATATGTGTTCATCCATCTACCACCTAAAATCATCCTGCACACAGCATCAATCACCCATGTACCAGCCCTTGGGAAATACAGTAACTCCTTAGTTAATTCTCACACGTTTCTGGGAGGATGGTTTATAGGTAAGAACGTGGAGGCTCAAAGGATTCCGTTCCTGAAGTCCCACAGGCGGAAAGGCTCGGGGCTGAGATTTGAATCCAGACAGTCTAACTCCAAATGCCAAGACTTTCAACGCTAGTGCTTTCCAAATGGATTTTTTTTTAAACCCAAAGAATTTGTTAAAAATGAATATGTGTTTGGAAATCCAACATAAAAAGCAGATAAAGTTGGAGCTTTTACATATTATTTAAATGAGATTGGTGGGTGCAGAGGTTCTTTTATTTTTTTTTTTTTTGAAACTTCTTTTGCCCCAAGCTATTCTACGATGGCCCCTGAGAACGTGTCTCAGAAGCCCAGGACTCTGAGGAATGTTAAGTTGAACGACCCTATCTCTCAAGTTCATTTAGTTCCATTTTCCCCATGAGCCAAACTCCTGAGGGGCAACATCTGGGTCTATGTTATCTTTCCTGGCTGGGCATCTCTACCTTGGACCTTCGCCATTTTGAAATCTTGAAATTTTCCGTCTTACTATCTTGAAATCTTCCACTGGCATTGCAAGCCTTCCTCTGACCTAATTATTCATTCATCAAACACTGATGTCTAACCTGTGCCCAGATTTTTTGATGACACAAGAGGAATAGATGTAGTATCTTTGATGGCTTCCCAAGCCCGTGTGGAAGACAGATAGACACAGCCAAATACAGTAAGGGTTGGAGGAGCCCCTGTTCACCCGAGTCTCATTGTCGCCTCAGTGCCTGCCTCTTTTAGGTGGCTGGTTGCATCCTGTATGGAGCAACTCCTGAGATGGAACCAGTGAAGGGACCCCAAGGGTGACAGAGGTCTTGTCTGACTCCCCACTGTGGTTCCTGGGTCACTGTTCTCTTTAAAAACCAATGTCTGATTTAAGTCTGGACTTAGAATCATACCTTACTGAGACCTCCCAACCCTCACTCCAATGGGAGGACCAATTTACAGTTGTGCTGCCACCTGTAATATGGACCTCTGACTGGCTCCTGACCTCAGCCTGCCTTCTCCCCCTCAAGGCTGCCTATGGCTGCCCCCTGCGCCAACCTAGAGATCTCTCACTGAAACGGGTACCCCAAAAGGAGCCTCTCTGCCATGAAGAGAAGAAATATGTCTCTCTGAAATTACGGGAAGATCCTGTGAGAGTTCCAATAAGTTTTAAAGATTTCTAAAAGACATTCGGCCTTGTGATGCTCCCCCCCGCACAAAAGCCAAGATTTCTACCCTTCTTCCTCAGCCCTGGCTTCAGCCCTGGTTCTCTCCAAGATGCCTCCATCTTTGGAAGGCACTGAGTTCTCCAGAACATCACTGATCTGAGTGTCTCCAGAATATCACTCTTGGGGGTTCCCCTGTACTGTGGGACCTGGTCTAAGCTAAGCTTGAGTTCTCGGAAGCTTCTCCCTTGGTAGGTCCTAGAACTGGGTCTATTAGCAAACTCAAAATGAGTCAATTCAAGTCAAGTCAACTCAGCTCAACTCTACTCAGCTTAACTCAACTCATTTCAACTCAATCCATACTTCCTGTGTATCTTTTTGCTTACCCTGACCTAGGCTCTAGTTTTAGGAGAGAGGGAATCCAACAGTAAATAAGACATAATGTTTACTCTCAAGGAGTTTTCTCTTGGAGAAAGAGCCACCTCTTTCTCTTAGGGAAAAGAGCTCCCTTTTCTGTCCTGGAGACATCCCAACCAGCACTGTAATTCCTGGGGTCCACTCCCCTAGACTTCTCAAACTACCTTCCTAGGATTGTATGACTTTAAGACTCCAGATTGCAAAGTCAGTTGGTCCCTTACCCTTTAGGATATGATTCATATGGGTCCTGAGTCATTCATGTATTCACAGACTTGCACTGAGCACTTACTATGTGCTAGACACTTTATAGACATTACCTCATTTAATTTCCCCAGTAACCAGTGGGGATACAGAACCAGTACGTGGTCAATTAAAATTTAACCCAACCCTAATTCCAAAGCCCATGTTCTTTCCATCTTATCCCACTGTCTCTTAGAACAATTGGATAGAATCCATAATAAAGGATATTTAAACAAATACATTCCATATGGAGGGAAAGAGTGGATTAATGAATATTTTATGTAAAGCAAAATCTCACCTGACCAGTTTATTAGAATTCTTGAGAAGCGAACTATATAGGGAGATAAAGGGTGACTTTCACAAAAAGTCTTTGTCAGATTTCCATCCCGAAGCCTATTAATAAAATTGATTCTTTATAGAATTGGGCAGAGGTGGGTGGTGAGTGGGAGGGAGTCTATTTTTGCATGGATAGAGAACTGGCTTAGAGACAAGAAAGAGAGGGTAGGGATAAATGGGTGCTTTTTCAAACGAAGAACTAGGGTTCCCCAGGAATTGGTGCTGAGTTTGATCTTATGTAACACCCAAGGCACAAGCATTCAGTGTCCAATGTGTGCATTTCCTGCAGTAAGTATGGGGGGTGATACACACCCAAACCAGACTTAGCTCCTCTCCTGGAGAAGGCCAGAGAAAGAAGTGCTCAGCGACACCTCCAAGTTCTCAGAGGACAGGCAGCTCTGGAGGGGCCAAAATGCCAAGACATTGGAGATAAACCAGAAAACAGTGGCCAGGAAAGGGGAAAGATCCCCAAGCAGCAAGCAAAAGATCTGAGCTCTAGGACCCATCTGTTACTCATTTGCTGTGTGACACCGGGCAAGGTCCTTCCCTCTCTGGGTCCCAGTTTTCCCTCCTGTACAAGGAAAGCATTGGACTAGATGTCTTGTAAGGGTGTGGTGTTCTGGATGGAGGACAAGGATTTCAAATAGAACCTGATTATGAGGAAGTCTCTATTTCCTGTGGCCAAAATGTCTCCTTCTGTGCCTGCACTGAGATGGGGGACCACTCTCCTTCTGTCTCTCTTATTTGTGAACAGTGAGGATGAGGCAGAGAGCCATGAGGTCTGTGATGCCGGGGCGCAGAGCCCAGCCTGGAATCCCTCAGTGGCATTCATTGCGAGTGACTCAGCGTCATAAATAGCTCCCATCTGGATGAGCAACGATATCTATAGCGATCGAGCGATCTCTATATCCACACACACTCTCTCTGTGCAAATATGTGGCTCACTGTATGCTAAATACGAGGTGGCCTGGAGACGTTCCTCCTCTTAAAAGACTATTTGGTATGAAACTCGAGACTGTTTATTTAAAGAAACAAGTTTACAACTATGCACATTGGATTACTGGTAGTGGGTGGTGGGGAAAAGGCGATGTGGATGAAGGGACGCTGGGTGTGATCCAAGCTTGGGGGCCGCTGAGGCCGACCACTCCACCTTCAGCCTTCTGTCTGCAGCAGGAGGGGTAATGGACACCACACGTGAGATGCTTGAGATCCTGGGGTCGGGCTACAGGGAGGGGGTACTCTTGAGCTCATCGGTGCAGGAAACCACAGTTAGCAGAAAGAACATAGGAACTGCTCTTCCAGCCCTGCTCTGCCCTGCCATTAATCTTGAACAGCTCATTAATTCACGCATTCATTCATCAAGTATGTACCAAGCACAGACAATACGCACAAGCCACATGGGGATACAGACAAGAAAATGTAGGTTGGGATTCAGGCGTAGCCACCTGCCAGCTATAAGTGTTTTCCCAACTCTGTGCTTCAGCTTCCTTATCTGTAAACTGGGGATAATACCCCCTAAGGTTTAATGCACAAGAAAGTGCTTCTCTGCTGTAAATGGCTCCGACAATGCAAGCTGGACCCACTCCACCACATTGCCCAGTTGATCCACCGCCTCTCCACTTAGAAGTGTTCTGGGGACTCACGGAGAGGGAATGTCCTCATGACCCCCTTCACCAGGGCCCCAACGGTGGGGGCCTGGAACACCACCCATGGGAATGACCCTGGGCAGTACCCTTACCTTTGCTTCTTGGCTGAGCTGAGATGTAGGGAACTTCAGTCAATGAGCAGAGCAGGTACGCCAGGGATGTACAGCTTCCTGGGGGAGGAGACAGGGTGTTCAGGGATGAGGAGAGACAACTTCTGGGGTAGTTCAGTGGAGTGGCCTGAAAGGGCACCGGACCTGAGGACATGCCCTTGCTTCTCCTGAGGCCACCACAGATCCTCGGGGTTCTAGCAAGGGACTGGGCAGCAAGGGACCCTACCTGGCATCAGACCCAACCCCTAGCCCCACCTCACCCACTCCCCTGATACCAGTTACCTTCTTGGCCGCTGGCGTGGGCAAAGCTCGTATGGTACCACTGACCATACTGCTTTCTGGCTTAAATGTGATTTCTGACCTATGTCAATGGGCATGGTTTACTGTCACTCATACCTGGATTTGAATTCTGACTTTGGGGAAATCCACGGCATCTCCCCAAGCCTCAGTTTCCTTATGTGTAAAATGAGGCTACTAACAGCCCCGATCTCAGCCCTGATTAATGATTACAACAAATCTTGTTATAATCATTGTTGTTCGTGTTGACTATCTGTGATGATGTCTCTTATCTTGTGGCCCCTCAAATTTTAGTTACCTTGTCCTGCTCTCTCCTAGGAAGTGCAAGGTATTCCTGAAAAGGCAAGGGCTCATTCTATGACTTTGTCTCTGGAGCTGTGCACAAGTCCTGACAGAAAGTGGCCACCCAGTAAGCCTCTACTGACTAAACAATGCTCCACAAGTTTGTTGGGTTTGCCTTCACAAAGTTAGGGTTAGTGAGGTTGATGTTCTCCCATTTAACAGAGGAGAGCACAGGTGCAGACAGGGTAGGTCATCTACTCTGCTTCCCACAGGGGCAAGTGTGAACCCGATGAAAACCCACAGTCCCCACTCTACCTCCTCCCCCAATCCCAGCCCTGCAGTCAGGGCCTCTTCTGGCTGGACACCAAAGCCCCACAACCTCACATGCCCGCGTCCAAGCTGGTGCCACCTCCTCCATGTTTTCCCTTCCTCCTGTAACCACCGTCCTACTGCCACTCAAGGAAGGGGACATTCTGGTGTCCCCTTTCCAGAGATGGGGACTGAGGAAGTGCCCTGTATGATAGACACTGTTTCCAATCAATCTGCTGACTTAAGCGCCTTCCTAGGACTGGCAGTCTTCTGGGACCATCCTGGGATCACGGCACCTCACCCCTCGGCCTCTGCGCCTCCAAGGCACTCTTACCTCCTCCTGCAACCTCCTCCCGCCCCAGGCCTGCCACTGGACTCGGAGCTGAGCGAGGCAGAGGCACGGGGCAATTCCCCAGAGGCCGGCACTTAGCAAATCTTGATATGTATCTGTTGGGTGAGTGAATGAGCAAGTAAACAGTGGCTGAATGACTGTGTCGGGCCGTGTTCTAAATGCTGGGAACGCCGCAGGGAAGAGGGCAAGCCTGCTCCAGCTCTCAGGAGCTGACAGTATTTGAATTTAAAACCAACAACTGGATTGGAAAGAGGGCACATGTTACCGTTTCCTGACGGGCTAGGTGGGGAAGTGGGGATGGAGAGTTGGCAAGCCCTCTGACTGCCCGGGGTGTACCTTGGAGACGAAGGTGGCCTCCCTGGCCTCAGGCAGGGCCATCTGTGCCCCGAGTGGGGAAGCTGACCTTTAAGAAGACCGGGGAAGAACACCGGTGCAATTATGTATTTAACGTCTACCTGCTGCTGGGTCCACAGCTAGCACGCTGCCCGGCATGCAGCAGATACTTAAACTTTTGTTCAGGGAAGGAAGCCATTTGTTCAATGGGTGGGCCAAGTGTGTTGGGATGACTCAGGTCTAGGGGCTGGCGGGACTCCAGAGTGCTAACTCTCAGAATTATTATGACATCCACTTGAATGGGGCTGCACTGTACTCGGAGCCCACTTACATGGCTGTTACTATTCCCCCCATGCCGTGAGGACACTGCACACACACTTGTTAGTGAGCTTGCTGGGCTGGGCACCAGCGGCATTCATACAAGCTGTGGGGCGACAGCAGCACTTCCGGGGTATCTGTCATGTGCTGGGCCCCTCATGTCCACACTGCCTGGCAAGGCCAGGGTCACCATCTCCATCACACAGAGGACAGCACGGAGGCTCGGAGGAGGCTTGATTTTGCACAGTTGGAAACTAGGTCTCTCTTTAGGAGTGAGATGTACAAAGCTCATAGTCGAATGGGGACCCCAACAGTAAAGAGGATAATTAAAATCCAGTGTGACACCCAGAAATGCACGTTTGTCAGAGATGCCTTTCTGCCAGGAGGCATCAGGGAGGGCTTCCCTGAGAAGATGAGCCTTGAGCTGAGGCTTAGAGGACAGAGGAGAAGGAAGGGCTATGCAGGCAGAGGGAGCAGCATCTGTAAAGCTGTGGACGGAGCATGGTCCCACTTGGAGGAATGTGGTTGCGCCAGACCCTTGACCAGAAAGATGAAGCTGGGAGGTTGTTGGGGCTGGTTATAAGGAGCTTCATTGAGGCTGGAGGATGATGGAGAGCCATTGCAGGGCTTGGCTTCGAGCTTCTTCCGGGGGCAGGGGCAGGACTGGGGGAAATGGGAGGCTAGGTAGCAGGACCTATGCTTGATGAGGTTGGGGGTAGAGGGATCTTCAGACTCTGCCTCCTGACCTGGGTGATGCGTGGCGATGGAGGGTCCCTGAGGGCCAGCTCAGTCATTGGCTGAGCCATCCTGTGGAGCTGGAGTTCTCCCCCAGCCAAGAAGATCACTGTGGCAGGTCCTAGGCTCTGCCCCAGCTCCAGCCCCAGCAAAGCCCTCCTCTACCACCTGGCTGCTCCCAAACTGTGTCCTAGCAACTCACAGCCCTCACCTTGGCAACGCCAGCTTCTGCACTCTTCCTGATTGGGCTGGAAAGGAAGGTGGAGCTAGAATGCCTCCTGTCCACTAGACTTGCTCAGAGAACCAGCCTGGGCCACCCGCAGCCTGCAGCCCCAGGTTCATCAGGTGGAGTCTGGCCAATCAGATGCAGAACATGGGTCTGGATGCAGGACAGGAAGTCTGGACTCGCAGCCTTGTGAGCTGGGTTCTGACCCAGGGCTGAGGCTTTGTCTGAGTGACCTTGGACAAGTCTCTTCCCCTCCCTGGGCCTCAGGTCTTCCCTTTTATAAAACAGGGAGGTTGAACAACACCATCTCTGGAGTCTAATATTACCTTATTCCATTTTTGACCTTTTCCCATAGTTCTTGGTTGGATGTTCTGTTGCTGGTACGGATTTTAGTGTCAGACTCTAGGAATTTAAATCCTAGTTTGCAGGGAGCCTGGGTAAGTCAGGTAAGCATCCAAGAAACTCTTGGTTTCTGCTCAGGTTGTGATCTCAGGGTCATGAGATCGAGCTTTGCATGGGGCTCTGCGCTCAGTGGGAAGTCTGCTTCGCTCCCCGTCTCTCCTTCTCCTTCTGCTCCTCCCTACCCCCACTCATGTTTTCTCTCTCTCTCTAAAATTAATTTTAAAAAGTCCTGCTTTGCTTGGCCAAATCACTCTACCTCTCAGAGCCTAGGTTTTTTTTTTTCCTCTTTGTAAAATGAATGTATTTCATGCCATCTCACCTAGGGGGGTATGAGAACAGTCGGTTGAAGTGGTATACATGAAAGTGCTTTATAAGTGGCAAAGAGCTGTGCGAGCGTAACCTATTTCATCACAGGGGTTGTTCTCAGTAACCATTTACTGAACGCACTCCTCCCCTCTCACCAGAAACAGCAGCAGCAAGCCTTTATTGAACACTTACTATGTGCCAAGCATTGTACTGAGGTTTTACTCACGTTATGTTATTTTCACCACAACCATGTAAGGTATTTGCTACTATTATTCCCATTTTCCAGATGAACAAAGGAGGGCCGATATGGTTTTGTATAGAAGGAGCTCAGCCGGATTCCCTGGCTTCAAAACTTGACCGTTTAAAATTTCATGAGGTGGCCTCCTTAGATCTCCTCTCTGGGTCTCAGGTTTTTCCTCTTGCCCAAAGTCAGGCTCTCACTCAGGGTTTGGTGGGCAAAGGGGCAGCTCTCTCATTTATTCAGCATCTCTTCAAAATGCCAAGAATTGACCAGCTTCTCAGGCTTTTCCCTGCATGTCAGTCCCTTGCAGGGCGGTGGGGGGTGGTGGTGGGGGGAATGGGGCATGTCTCATTAAAATGCAGATTCTGATTCTGTGGGTCTGAGATGCATTTGAGACTGGACATTTCTAATGCATTCCTAGGAGATGCTAATGTTGCTGGCCCAGAGACCACACTTTGAGTAGCCAGGTGCTAGAGGATTTCAAATATTATCTTCTTGAATCCTGGGGACTTTTTAGCCCAGAGTCACAGATGGGGCAACTGAGGCTCGGGACGCAATGTACCTCACCCAGCGCATATAAGGGGTGACTTTGAACTTCGGTCTACCTGGGAGTATGCAGTGCCAGGGGTTATGTGCCAAGCCCCACTTCCTGGTTGTATGGTCCCTGCTTGGGCTTCTGTCTCCACAGCCAAGGCAGAGAGTCCCTAAGGTGCCTACTAGGACCCGTTTCTTATTTTCAGTTTCTCATAAACAGACCAGTTTTGGGTGCTGCCTTCCAGTGGGAACAGGGCCCTGGCCCAGGATGTGTCTTTGCCATCGAGTGGAGATCTCAGGATCAGGATGATATCCTGCATATGTGTGACTCACCCTATAGGTCCTACCCTTGGCCTGGCTCTTTTGGAATCCTGTCCTTATTCATCATGGATCTTGGGGACACTAATTTTGTTTTTAAAAAATATTGCACAACATGTTATTGACTTTGATGCCTGAGATTTTTAGCCTCCCTTTACATTTTGCACCTGAGAAGGGTACTTCTTGCCCTCACCTTGCCCCAGTCTTGGCCCAGCCCTATGTCTTCTCCTGCCCCTCCTGCCTCATGGCATTAGGATGGTGCCTGCAAGGCACTGCGGTGCCCACCAAGCAGCCGGCCAGCCAATGCATTTATTTCCCAGCAGGGGAATCCATCACTTGGCTTGCCTTTTGGCTGACCTGCTCTAGCGATGGCCACAGGAACTGTGGGCCTGGGTGATCACTCTGAT